CTATGTAATATTTCTACTTGTGTGATGTAGAAGATAATTATCAAAGTATGTAATTATGTAAAAATGTTAACAGTCTGTAATATTTTTTAGTATATCACTAGCGTGGTGTAGAACAAAATTATCCATGTAGTAATACTGCTTGCAATCCAATGCTGGTAAGATGATGTTATGGGGTAGGACTAGATAAGTCTAACTTCTTCCTACTCCGTTCAAGCATGTACTAGGTATAAGCAAATTGATAATGCATTTGTGGATATGTGTGAAATTATGTGTGTTGACATATTGACTGTCTTTACATGTTTGAAAGAATAAATCAAATCAAATCAAATATTTATTTGTTTGATTTAAATGTGAAAATTGTTATCCTTCCTTATTATAGCTCATTATTATAATGCATACAGAACTTGGCTCATAAACATGCATTAATCAATATGCAACACACCTAAATGTATCACAACATCTGCAACGACTCAATCGTTAAGAGACATTGTTGGCCTTCTATGGACTGAAACACCACCGAGGGGGATAAATATCTCTGGCTCAACACCAGTCAGTCAGAACTGATGAAGCCTCTTGGATGAGAAGTGAAACGTCTTCGATCTAGAAATCTAAGTCCAATTGATTTTTTCTAAGGTTTTTTTCAGTTTACTATGGCCTGGATTACTGAGAATTTGCACAGACATCACAACATCCTGTGATTTTTTTTTGATGATATAAGAATGCTAAGAGTTATCCATATACTTGAACATCCACTAGAAATTTTAAAGGTGCACTAATACATTCATTTTTAGCCACTTGGGAACAGGAAAAATACATTAACATGTTATCATTATGAAGGTAAACATGTCAGCAAACAGTTGCATTTTAAACAAAATGACATTGACTTCCTATTGAAGTTGTGTTTGTACCTTGAAATGAGATTAATGAGAATGGGTAGTGGGCATGAAAACCAAAACAAAAGCATGCAAGAGTGCAAGTACCTCTGCCAAAGCACAACATTCGCTCACGCTAATGGGTCTCTTGTGAAAAATGAGATCCAGAACAACACAAAATGTGTCCTAAAATCATGTTTTGTTCAGGAATGGTAACACTGTGCATCTTACCTGAACATGTCAGGGTTCTATCTTCATTATAGGCTAAGTTATGGCAGAAATTATGCATTAAATGTGGTTTTCAATGTTTAATTTAAATGGCCGTGAGATCCAGAATCTATATCATATCTGGATGAAATTTGGTCTGATGACAGACATTGTCACCCTACATGTGTGTCAAATTTCAAATGATTTTGGTAAATTTTGACGGAGATATGATTTTTTTTTATTATGCCCCATGTTGAAAATGGGTATTTGTGTGTGTGTGTGTGTGTGTGTGTGTGTGTGTGTTTGACCTTTTTCAGCAAAAATCTAATCACTTATAGGGTTGGTTTCTGCCAGTGTATGTCCCAAGTATGCTGATGATCCATCCAACCATTTGTCCATAATCCTGCACAGACACACACACACACACACACACACGGAATCAAAAACATACATTATCCTCCTTGGTAGAGGTAATAGCTCAAAACAGACTAAAGCACTTTGTGGACCTACATGAGGGCACAAAGCTGGGTGGGTTTGTCAATGCGAGCAGCACTCTTCAGCGAGCAGCACCGTTCACGTACACTTAGTCATTTGAGTCATTCTTAGTATAAAAATACAATTAGCGCCGCTTTAAATAGCACATGTGTGATATTCATGGGCATTTGGTATGTCAGCTGCACCAAGAAAGGGATGTTTTCTGAATTTACAAGCATGAATTTCATAAGAAGATTTGCTCAACAATAGATTAATTGAATAAGTTGGGTATCTTACCAGACTCACTAGCCCACATTATTGTGCAGCCATAAGACATGGCAGAAATGCCAGATCCTGTGTCACTGCTGTGTTGGCTCACATATTACTCAACCTTTATGCATGTAATGTGACCTGAAAGGGAGTCTGCTGTGTAAACACGCCACAGAAATTTCAACCAGAATTCTTTCAAAATAGAGTGATAAATCAAGTAAACAGTTAAAACACACATAACATAAACATAGAACTCAGTTCAAGTGTTGTGGGTTTTTGTGTGTGCGTTTTACTATGGGTTTCATGAACTTGTTCTGTTCAAGACAGAATATTGTATTTTCTTTCATTTCCACAGTGTCCCTGTTGACGCGTCTATGTGTTTTTTGTAAACAATGCACCTCTAAAGTGTAAATGAACACACAAGTGAACACATGCTCAGAATATGAGGCTCATGCAAGACCGTATAATGCTACACATTTGATGCAGACATGATGTAACATTTCAGTAACTGTCAGGAACTTAAGAAATGGAAACAGCCTACAGAATTTACAGTTTATAGTCTTGGTTTATTTATATGCCTGTTTAGAGGCCAGTCCCCACACATTTTTGTCTTTCTAACAGTGTGGTTAATCTTCCCCACATGTTTAATCATAGTGGGTGTGAATATGTAACACCTCACTGACATGCGTTTTATTTGACTTTCAGCTGGGACTCCGTTAATAACCCTACTGTAATGGGATTCCATTGGGCTAATTACTAACACTGTAATGACTAATTTTGCCTTGTGTAATGTTGCTGCTACTGTGTTTTTGAATGTAGACCATGCTCTAAATAAGGGGTCCTGACTCATAACTTTCTCAGTTGGAAAATGTGAGCCCCTTCCTTACTAAAGAGAATGAGCTTGCTGCTCAGATTGTTTTGGGGATTCTGATCACACTGCAGTGGTGGATATGATGTTATTAATTCTGAGTTTCATCCTGTAAATATTGTGAATAATTTGATATGTGTGTGGCATATGCTGACATGATTGATTGGCTCCACATGTGAAATGTGTAAGTAGACTTTCTTGATCACATTTGAATATTATCAGATCAAAAGAAGGAGTCGAAATGTCATATTTCCATTTAATACATTGCCTATTTTGGGAGCATGTATTCAGTGTGTGGCAGTTCTTTGTTCCTGAAAAGAAATACTTGAAATTTGTTATTTCACCTACTACTAGACAGAAGTGGACTACATGTAATACAAATATAATTTTGAGATAAAATATTTTTTAGGACAAACCCTCAGTCTGCTTCTTCAGGACTGTGTTGGAGTGTTTTGATCAGATCTGATTCATAGTGGCTTTGCCCCAGCAACATACACAACCATCCACAGCTGGCATAATATACAAAGTTTGCTAAATGTTGGTAGGTGCACAAAACACATGGCTTTACTGCTTTCTGAGTCTCACTATTTTAAACCAGCAAGAACAGACAAAAACAACAAACAAATCATTCCTTTGAAATTACCTAAATTGTCCTAACTTTGCCTGAACAATGCGTCATGTCATAAATGTATGTACTGTGTCAAATTCAATGAAATGTACTGGACATTAGATAGATAGCAAGTCTGAGTTATTCTTGAGTCCTTGTCCACATCTGAGACAAAGATTAATTATTGATTGTGACACATGCTCACACAGAGCTTCTGTCTGTCGGTTTTCCAGCATGGCAGCATGCTTCTGTTGTCCTTACACAAATTCCCACATGCATTAAAACATGTATGTTTGTATGATGTTGCTAAATCCCAGGCCCACCTGATGTGGAGCAGCCTTGTGATCCCAGTCTCCAGGCATGGAGTCCTGAGCTCAGCCTTTATGACACTAATGTGACATCACCATGTCCCGACACAGAGGGCTGCACCCTCATACTGAGGTTCCTTCACCCCACTGTCCCACATGCGCTCACCATCTGGGTGACCTACATTTCTTCAAGTAAGTCTCACTCTATATCATTTATTGTAATGTTTCTAAAACAGTAGTATAAGCCCTCTTTTCTTTTCTCTAAAAACACTAGAGGGTAAAGTTCTGCCCTAACAACCAATTGTATTCCCTCAGTTTTAGTATGTCAGTTATGTGAAGGAGTAATAACTACTGTGGGTTATAGAAGAAGCAGTGGTTCTATATGCAAAGCTGACAACTGAAACTGAAAAGGAGGGGCAACTTTAAAATTTATCACTTCAGTTATATAACCCTAACAAGTTACTAAGCAATGTGTATACAGCAAGTGGTGCACATTCTCTGCACTCAATGTAACCAGTGCCTCAAAGTGAAAAAATCTAAAGATGATGATTTATAGACAGAGCTGAGTCAGCTAAATGATCAGAAAACTCCTGAATAAAAGCAGAGTTGGACTTTGTAGGTCTGTAGGTTAAAACTCTAAGTAAACTTTACAAAGGGATGGCATCAAAAAATAAAACTTTGTGTTTTTCTATCAGCACAGGTCAGCCTACTTTAATCAAGCCGACGCGGGTGGGCACGAGTTGATTTCTGTTTCCGTCTTTTCCTAGTAGCAGGGGGTAATTGTGACTCGGGCTCAGCCGCCCCTGCTTCTGCCCAGGGCTGAGTGAGGCTGAGCTATGCCTTCAACAGAGCCGGCTCATTAAGACATGTGATCGACTGAAATGTTGTACCAAGGAAAGTCCTCATGCATTCAGCATTTACTTGAAAATGGTGTCTCTCACTCGATCTTAAAATAGCACATAGCACAAAGAGTTTTATACTGCAAGCTAGTAACACCACACTGACACCATGAGTTATGTGTCACTTCTCAGTGGTTAGGACCACCCCCACGTGATCAAGATGCAGAAGATGCTGTGGAAACACAACCATGTTGACTTGGGACCAGCTCAGCAGGACTCTGCTATGCAGTATGCCAGGGCTGGCTCTTTGCTGGTGGAAAAACACCATTTGTTCTTTAGGCTCTGGGAAAGTTTTACAAATTTAAAAGCTTCATGGTTTTAAAATTCAAAACACAACGCCTGATAACTGACCTGCTTTGCAGTATGAGGTGTCCTGTCAGCAGTTTTACATACATCTTTTATGACTGTGGTCTATGGAGAAAATGCTTTTTGGGCCACAGGGAGGTTTTTTGTTACAGTGCGATGAGTGGACACTGGGGAAAATTTGTTGAGCTGAGTGGCGTGCCCCATATCCAACTTGCTAATAATACATCCATGGTGATGACTCATGTTCACCCCCTGGCAATCATAATAGCACCTAATAAATAATGCAAGTACTCTTACAGTCAATCTTTACCTTGCATAATGGCTGCAGCTGGAAACACAAGATATACTGTATATAGAGAGAGATGTTTTAATCACAGTCTAATTCTGAATGAGATTTGGTGACTTCAACTGGATATATCAAAATGGTACAATAATGTTCAAGTTTCCTAACAAACCATAGATGTAGTGCTGCCAGAATGCACCGAAACAACATTCTGCCACTTTTTTTTTAAAAAAGAGGAAAAAGAAGATTATCTATAGCTATAACATTCACACCGTGACAAATGGCTACTACTTATCTCTCCCAAGGGTGGGGGTTATGTTTTTGCTAGCATTTGTTGTTAACAGCATAACTCAAAAAGTCATGAAAGGATTTGGCAAAATTTTTATTGAGCGGTAGAGTGTGGGCCACAGAACAGTGGATTAGATTTTGATGTTTATCTGTATTATAATTTGGATAAAGGAATATTTTAAATGATTATTCACTATTGTGAGTACTGCAAAGGCTGCTCAACTGTATGTGAGCCCCCTTGTGACCAAAGTGCATGGCTGCACTGCTGAGCACTCCGAGCACAAACAGAGACAAATTCCTGGGTTAATGGCAGCTGCCCATTCTTTGTCAATGGAAACCGAGTACTGTCACTCAGTACACCCCGCTGTGTGAGACAAGGACTGAAGGAGCCCAGCAGGGCAACAGCCCACAGCTGGGAAAGGAGCCACTCTATGCAGCGACAAATGGGCGAGAGCCAGATGGCAGAGATTTTGAGCCAGGCTCAAAGATGTTGTCATTTTCATCCTAGGCCTGGTATTATGCCACTTTATTAAGTTTTGACACTTTCTTCAGGCAACAAAGTAACCACTTAGATTGAGAATATATGGTCAGTCTATCCAAGCAATGCCAGTTTAGAATTTGTCCTGACATTTTCTGAGGTGTGAGTGCTTGTTGTTTGACCAAGCTAGTTCTATTAGCAGGCAACTACATCTTGTTCAGGGCACATTAGTCTGTCGGGGAGGGAGCTCGTGTTCCAGCTGCACATTATAGCTGCATTTCTACTGTCAGAATCTAATAAGTGCTACACTGCCTGCTTCCCTTTACTGTCAACTGGCATAACCTGAGGCGTTGACACGGACCATCCTACTTTGCTTCACTGTATTTTATTCTGTGTCTGTCTCGAGGGGCTGCTGTTCTCCAATAGTGGAGACTGTATGAGCAGTTTATCAAACAGCTGTTGAACAAACAGAACACAAGCTTGTAGAATCGTGACATCTTCAGCGGTTTGCCTGTGGTCCACTCACTGAAGTCTCAGTTTTACCACTAAACCAACAGGTCTTTCATGTCTACTGTTTATCTTGAGTGCTTGCTCAAGAGGGATTTGTTGGATTTCCCCTGTAAAGTTAGATCTTACTATGCCCTTGTTGTTGTGAATTGGCACTATAGCCTATTGAACTGAATAATCTTCAAACTTATAATGATATCAGCATCATTTCAGATGCCAGAAGTAGGTTTTCATGATCAAGCAATCATATGAGAACCAAACTATCATGAGAAAATTGTTTTAATGGCATTATGGGGAAACTGACATGCTCTTGGTGGAGGTTGCGTTCTCTGAGTGCTGTCTAGTTCATATTATTCTGCCACACCAGAGAATAAAGTCAGTGTAACATTTGATTGTGTGGTCCATTACAGTTGCCACGATAAAAAAACTGTTTACATGGCCCTCGAAACAAGCCATAATTTAACTGTGCGCAGGCATGCTCACACCATAGGTGCACTCCGGTACTTCATCAAATAGCACTACACTGCTAACAAAGTAATAGTAATTTCTTTTTCAAATATAACCAGAGGCAGCTAGCTCAGCTTTAGCACAGCTATTTTCATTTGACAGAGTAACACTCCCTAAGCTGTCAGTGTCACATTGCACAGGGGGTGGATTTATGTCGCATATCCAATTTCATGGTTCATCATGTAATGTCACAACTGGCATGGTTTCAACATAGCTTGCTGTTGAGGTGGGAGATTCAAAATTTTAAGTAATTAAATAACCTCCACTAATTTAGAATTTAGTCATTTTACAGCACAGGAGGACCTTCGCCATCACCTTATTCCATCTCAAAGCTTTGTTGTTTTCCATCATATCAGCTCTTTAAACTAAGCGATTCAAATGGCGAAGTTCCCAAGAGCAAATAGACAACATTTAAAGTATCCCACGTCTGCCAGCAGGCCTAGGCAGGTGAAAATAATAAAACAGCTGTCAGAAAGAACAGATTAATTAAGTAAGATTTACCCTCTCTGTCTCTATTGTCCTTTTTCAGACAATCCAGCCATTGATAACATAGAGTTAATAACAGATACCGGGAAAAGCATTAACCTCGGACCCCAGCATGTCTTCTGTGACATGCCCCTCACCTTGCGCCTTGACACTCACAATGCTGCTATCGCCTCTGTAAAACTCTGCACCTTCGATGAGAAGATGGAAATTGATGCAGTCATGTTGTCTTCAGGACCCAGTAGCCCTCTGTGCTCTGGCTGCCAACCTCTGCTGTACCGAATTCAGCGGCAGCCACCCTTCACCAGCAGATCCCCACCACCTCAGATCCAACAGACATTCACAGACAGGTAAATGCTAAATGTTGTGTTTGTACAGCTATATTGTTCATTCATTATGTGAACTGGGGCACTGGGTAACAAGTTTGTAATTGCTGTTAGTGTACCAACCTGAAGAGTTTTTCTACCCAAACCACCGTAAAGTGTTAGGGTTTAGTCCCCCTCACCGGGAGGATGAAGGAGTACTAAGGTAGGACTCAAGATTGCTGACCCAGGTGCTAGTGAAAAAAGTGATTTAATGGGAAAAACAATGTAGTACAGAGTCCATAATACATACAACAAGGGAAGGGCAGTGATGGCTAAGGAGACCAGGATGACCAGGGGGTAGACAGGCTAACGGCAGAAACCAGGAGAGGATGAGGATGAGGACGGATGGGTGAAAAATAAGAGGGTGGCGAACGACCAAAGAAAACAACAGCACAGGAACTGTCAGCGTGGCCTTCTATAAACGTATAACACAAAACAACATAACCAACGTACAAAATGCGTTCCACAGCACAGGAACTGTCAGCGTGGCCTTCTATAAACGTATAACACAAAACAACATAACCAACGTACAAAATGCGTTCCACAGCACAGGCACTGTCAGCGTGGAAAACAGATTGACACACAATACATACCACAAAGATAGGGCTGTAACAGAGTATGCAAGTTAGGTAAGTTAAGTAATGCTCCAGTGACGACGGAGCGTCTGCCAGAGGTATAAATAAGGAGGAAACCATTACTTGCCTAACCTTCAACTTTACCCTAACCTTAAACTACATTGTGACTCTAAATTTTATTTTGACCCTGTTTAAAAATGAAGGTAAATAAAATCTTTGTGAAAGAAAATAATATGGACAACTCTTACTGTACTTACTAATACTTTTTGTGGGAGGGGGGCCTTAAAAATACAGCTTTTTATTTTTAGTAAATGAAAATGACATTTAAACTGGGATACATAATGCACAAAGTGACAAAGCTAGGGCCTCTAATTTTTATGTAAACAGTACTGGTGACGTTGTCCATAGGGAGTGAAGGGTTTCATTTATACTGAGGTGGTGCTGGAGTCTCAGGCACAAAGTCATCCTATGCACACACTGAGGCTGTTGTTGATGTTGTTGTTTCCAGGTCACTGCTGGAATTAAATATGACACCAGTGGCAATTTCCTCCTCTAATGGTCACTGATACTTTGAGGTCTAGTGGGTCCAGGGACGCCTCAATAAACATGAGCTATATTGATATCAATGACGACATATTCTGCATTTTAGCTATAGATCAATAAAAGTTAAAGCAAAGCACATAAAAAAATGTACAAACGACTGAGCTACATACAAGCTGGTAACACTTTATTTTACATGTCTGTTAATTCCAGTTTATTTCCAAATAATTCAACTGCATCCAAACATCCACATTAGTATTCAGTTTGAGCATAGACAGGACAGAAATGGATTCATCTGTGGTGTTTGTGTCATCTGCTGCTGTTAGCTAGTGTTAGCTAACAAACCGAGAGCTGAGATCAGGGTGCTGTCGGTCTGTTTCTCTCATAGAGAGGAGCTCTAGGTCCACTACGACTTACAGTAGCTGCAGTCAGCTAAGGTTATCCATTCTAAATGGCCACAGTCAGTAAAGTGAGATCTAAATGATTTAAGCAACTTTTTAGCCAAACAAAACAAAAATCTATGCAGGTAAATACAGCACATATCTCCCAAAATAGCGCCCCCATCCCAACATTCAACATGGTAGGATGTACCTTTACATTCTCTATAGAGTGCTGTAGTAGTGAGTCCAGGGGTGTATCAAGCTTTTTAAAAGTTTGGGGGATGAGGTTTGTCTGGGGTGGGGGTATCTGATTAAGACTGAAGCTGAACGCAACTAAATGTGTTTTACACACCTCTCTTATTTATCACATATAGAGTTTACCTACCTCTAAATAGAGTTTATGCACCAAATTCAACCAGGATATTCAATATTTTGCTTGCTATCATTATCAGCACAATGCAGTTATAGCTTAGTGTTTCTGAATTACACTGCATTATCTACATTTTATGTCCAACCCTGATCAACACTGTAAGAGCCATTTATGCCACTCACTCATATTGTTACAATTTACCCACCTCTTTTTTCAGCACATCTCTGACTCTTAAGTTGAAGAAATAAATTCTCTGTATTAAGTTATTCTGAAGAAAATAAAGGTCAGCTACAAATTGAAACTCTTGTGTAATATGATTTTAAATATTTTTATTTAAATAAACTGATGAAGTTTAATGTTTAAAGCATTGTTTACAGTTGGTTACAACTGCACAGAAAATGTTGGATATTGCCAACATGACATGAAAACCAAGTGGCCTGAACATTTAACATTGGATATATGAACATTTAAACTTTCACTCAGTTCAATTAAAAGACCAAAAATGCTCTTTCTGTTTTCCTTACAAGAGACAAACTGATTAAAAATCATTTTTCTGTTCACCCTATACAGCTTGTCTTTCAGTACATGGCACATAGCAACACTGTTGAGGTGGGTTTGGGTCACGGTGCTGTGTAGCCATGTTTTCAGCCTCCAGAGGCTGCTGAAACTCTTTTCTGACTCTGCTAATGACATAGGCACAAATAGGAGGAGACAAGCAACTGTTTCAACTTGGTTTTCTGCTTCTTAATGCTGCGTGGCAAAAAAAGACAGTGGTAAGTGGTAGCTAGGTCAGACAGGACTGTGAGACTGCTTAAAAAATAGCCTACTTTTAGCTAGCATCATACAGCTCCCTATCTAACTTTGTTAACAACATAATACTAGCTGCTGAGGTGGTGAACAGGGTACATGATGGATATTAAGTATTTATCAGCAGATATTCCATTGTGACATCGAGTTTGGCTTCACTAATTTACTGTGATGGAGTGTTCTTCACATTTACTGCCTCACCTTCAGAATGCTCCATAACATTTGTTTCTCTACACCGTCTCCTTAGCTGTCTCCAGTTGTCCTGAATGCTAGCATAGTGAATTGTGTTTGCCTCTTCACCTGCTTCCTGGTGGATTTGCTGTGATTGCCTGTAAGATCTGTCACTCAGACTAACTTGACCTATGTGCTTGTGTGTGTGTTGCCTCCTGTGTGCGTGGTTGGGGTTGTTCATTCTCTATCATTTTTTATACATTGGCTATTTAGTTTGTTATGTCTTGCCAAAAAGTGTGGGGGATGAAATGTGTTTTTAGAAAAAGTGTGGGTGTTACATCCCCCACATCCCCTACGGCTGCAACGCACATAAGTGAGTCCTAAAACCGGTAACTGAGTTAGCATTTTGCCCATCCAGTTCCCTCACCCTGAAGTCAATTGCTTTTTGAACAGGTTTTGTTTAGACACCTGAAATAAAATCTGGTTTACAGACAGTACATTATCACATTTTATTCTCCTATATAAAATACATCAGTAAATGTCCCATTCATGATTTTTTATGTTTTTATGTGTCTTAAAAAGGCAGTTGCTAACAAGTGGCTAAATGAGACCATAGAGGTTGTCTGGGATTTTACATGTCATCACAGAGACATATCTAAGCACTACTTTAATCTCAATTGTAGATCCAGATCCTCCTTCACAAGACATTATTCTCCATTCTCCAATGGTTCTTTAGTGAGCAATGACTTAACTTAAAATGACACAAATCATATCCATATTCATAAAGTTGTGAGTGTATGTGCCCTTGGATATGTTAATTCACAGATATCGTCTCTTAATAGTTCAAGTTCAAAGTGTTTATTTGTCATATGCACAGTTAGGAAACATGTTTCCCTGTACAATGAAATTCTTACTTTGCCGTCCACATGAATGCCACAAAATACAAATGAAATATAAAGTAGATAAATAAGTAACACAAAATCTAAGGCACTTTAAGCAGCAACAAATGCAGCAATATAATAAAAGAATATAACATGAAAATGTATGCTGCATTGGAGCAGCATGTGCAGCAATCAACAGTCATTGTGCAATTATGCATGTGCAAACTGAGAATGTAAACAGTACAGGTCGTCAGTACATCACGTATTTCCTGGTAATAAACTCCTCAGCTGTTTAGGAGTCTGATGGCAGAGGGAAAGAAAGAGTTTTTCAGTCTAGTGGTCCTGCATTTCACACTTCTGAACCTC